CCAATTCTTCCTACGGCGTCACCGGAAGTGCCGGACTCGCGATGGAATTCCACCGCCGGCGTTTCCGGCGCTACGTCTTTTTTTTTCTACGTACGAAGGAACGGGCTCGATAATTACCTAGAGATATAGCCTAAGTGATAACGTGGAACACTACTCTGTTCGTGTGTATCCCTGTTTCTGTGTTTGTATGTTTCCCCTCTGTCTCTCTCTCTCTCTCTCGCTCTCGCTCTTTCTTTCTCTCTCTGTCTCATTCTTTCTCTCTATCTCAATTTTCTCTCGCTCTCCCACTTTCGCTTGTGTCCTAAGGACTAATTAATTTGCTTTATAAACTAAGATGTCGCCTATACGCGATATCTACCTCATCGCTAAGTTTAGCAACATGGACATTATTATTTTGTTTCTCTTTATCGATCTCTCTATCTCCCCTTTTTCATCTACCGCATCCCGTTCCACCCTCCCTCTGCCCACCCAAAGCTTCACTTTGTCGTTCAAAATATTCCACTTTTGTTACATATTAACCGTTCCCTTTATCGCGCTAAGAAAAAAGGATTATTGTTTATATCATACACGCATCATACACGCATACACACATAAACGCATACATTACACATACACACACTTTCTCTCTTGTTTTTAACCAATTTATTAATTATCTTCGCCCTCGTATTAATCACGATGATGTTTCTGCCGGGTTTCTCCTCTCTTTTCTCTCTCTTTTTTTCTCATTTATACTCTAGATTCTATATGTATGTATATAATGTACGGATTGAAATTTTCCCTGGTTTCGGAAGCGATTTCGGCGGCTGCCAAGACGTCGACGGGATCATATCGCGAGTCGAGGACTCGATTCTGCTTCACGAACACGCAATACGGTCGCGGTATCCTCGAATGGCGTAAAAACATCGAACGAGCGAGGCCAAAATGCGAGAAGCGACAAAAACCGGGAATAAAATCGCGCTCGACGAAGGAACAGTTACCAGGAGTGATCAATTCAAAGATGGAAAAAGCGAGAAATTGAATGAAGAGAGCCTGAGATACAACGCGATGAGTCGCGTATAGTGGTATAGAAATGAGAAAATGTCACGACTCATTAATTATATATACAGTAATTATTAAAATTATGAATGCTCGCAAATGCGAAATCTTGATTTTTAATATCTACTCCTGGTTCCACGTTCCCGCGTCGTGCATCGATAAATCGTTTATTGCTTATTAAATTTGATGTCCGATCTTCGAAGACGTTACTTTAACAAAGCGACAAAGCTCCAGACAGTCGTCATTCAATTTCACGAATACAAAATGTTCAGGATAAAATAGGAGAAACTCAATATCGTCAAGGGGAGAGAGAATTAGAGTCTCTTTCACTACTAAAATAACGTCTTCGTCTTTAGACTATGTCTCTATTCTTATCCCCTATCGTCTTTCGGTCTCAAGTGTTCTAACAAATGTGGTTTCTCTTCCAAGGGTGTCAAGAAGGCACGTGACTGAAAGATACCCGCTATTCTCTACAGTCGTTTCCTCTCGCTCGACGATTAGGCGCGCCTATCGCCCCCATTTCTTCTTCTTTTTTCTTTCTCTTTGCCACCGATATTGCGCGTTCCGAGCGCGTCCGCCGGATTATAACAATCGTATACAGTCGTGTTCTACGTATTGAGAAGAGTGGGTTAAAGTAAGTTCCGATCCGATCGCGATTGATTTGCGATCGCCTGAAGAAACGCGCCGGGGAAATCGTCGTAGCGCGGCTTTTTAACGAGACATCACACACCGAGCGGATACATCCCTCCCTCCCCCCTTCCTGCCCAGTCTTCTCGCTATACTTTAATCCTCTTTTTATTTTTATTATTATCCTTGACTATTTTATTATATTACTTTACTCGTTATATCGTTACTCGCTATCGTTTATTATCCTTGCTACTACGCTTGCTTTAACTATGGAAACGAGAAGAACGTGGTACGAGCTGCCACAACTACGGTATATGTATGTATGTGTATCTATATCTGTGTGTGCGCGCGCGCATATATGTGTGTGTATTTTATGTGTCAGACTGTCTACGTCACACACGCACACACACAGAACGTTGATCGAGGACAACGTCCTCCGGTGTGATCCGGGTCGCGCCACCGCCACCCCCCCCCCATCGTTCGCTTCGATAAAAGTTTCCGAAACCGGGCAAATATAATTATCACTTTGCTCTCTCGCTCGCTCTCGCTCTCACTCTCTCTTTTTTTTTACATATCCAAAAATCTTTAGAAATTCTGTCTTGCGGTATATATAGGTACAAATATCGCGGGGAGAGATTATCGTAGCGAATATTATAAAATTCTCAGTTTTTTCTCTCTTTCTCTCTTTCTCCCTCTCTCTTTCTTTTTCTTTCTTCCTTTCTCGTTTCGCAGACGGGAAAGAAACGTCGCAAGCGATTTAGCGATTCTCGAAAGTGATTTAAAAGATTGTGCTGGCTCACAAGAAGGAGCTGGACGAAATTTCATCAGGAATCACATAGTTCACCGAGTTTTCCTTCAGCGCGCTCACTGTGTGAAGAAAAAGGCTTTTTGCAGCTTGTAAAATGGAAAAATAGTTGTATCTCTTTCTTTCTCTCTCTCTATTTCTCTCTCTCTCTCTCTCTCTTTCCCTTTCTCTCATCTCACATTCTCACCTTCAACCGCACCTCGTCTTCGCCTTTCGGAATAGCTACAACTTTTTTTCTGAGTTCTTTCTTGCATTTTTCCCTTTCTTTCCTGTTTGTTTTTTTTTTCGGTTAAGTTCGACGAGAGTCGATCACCCTGTGAGTACACGCACGAAGGGCCGCAGAAGTTACCCTGTGTGCAGGTGCAAATGCCCAAGAGATATAATCTGAGTACGCATTTTTTTTAACTGCTAAGTATCGTCCGCTGATTAAATATAATTGACTTTACTTAACGTGCATGATGGTGGCGAGGGCCGTAAAATATATCTCTTATGTGTTATAACGCGTTCGTTCTCGGGGTTGGATACGTGCGCAATAAATTTGCGAAGTGGTAGGGCGGAAAAGATATAGCTAGTCCACGCTAAACATCGAAATGCCACTTTGAAAACAGAAGAGAAAGTTGGCGAATCGAAAGACAGACTAGATGGAAATTTTCATTCTAGGAAATTGCTCTAGGAAAAGAAACAATTGTTATTCAGAAATGTCGTGCGAGATATTAGACGAATATGATTTTTTTTCCTTAAAGACTGTCTTTAACAGACAATCCCAAAAATTTTGAATTTATTGTCTAATTGGAATTTTATGTCCAATCCCCAATTATGAAGATTGAAGAAACATAATTACATAGAATGATCCTTTCAATTAACTTATGTTTTACGGGATTAACACCTAGAACGCCGGAAAGATGTTGCGTTCGATTTTCATCTTAATCACATTACTTTCGATGAAGTGTGTTATTGCAAAATACAACAATCTGTAGATATACGTTTTTGACGACGAATTTTTTAGGCGCGTAGAGTAAAAAATAGCGCGGCGAAAGGATGCCAAAAGTGTTGTAATGATACTTCTTAGTTTCGTAATGAAGAAGCTCGTTCGTATAATATGCGTATGGGAGATGTACACAGTGGTTGTTAAGACGCGAAAGAAATGCGATGATGGAAAGGGATGTTCGTCGTGGATCTACAACGCGACGACAACTAGTTGAATTTGTAAAGATTTTTGGCGCACTACTCTCCGCTTCCGTACACGTGACAAAATCGAGACTCCGCTTATTTGCAGCACATACTTCATAATTTTTAACCGTGTGTGTGCGATACAATTACGTGTAATTAGCAGTATCATCATTAGACTTTTTATTATAATTAGTGTTACAAAAGCTTGATTATATTTGGATCGGACTGTAGCAATATATTCACATAACTATCGTCGTGGAAAATAAAAATTTAACGTTTACATTATACAATTGTTCTTCACCATCATTCATCGATTCGCTATTTATTTGTAGATTCTCCTCGTCGATTCACGTAATAAATACAATTATTTTATATAATTATCATCATTATCATCTTTATCAGCATCATCGGCTCTCCCAACCCAGTTCACTCTCGTCCATTATTATGTACCGTTTTGCGATATTCTAGTCAAAAAAGTGTTTTCTCCTTTATATCATATTCCCCTATATATAACACGAATCACACGATCTATTTAAAAGAAGAATAATAAAAAATCAATAAACATTCGGCAAAGATTCACATCTTCGCAAAACAAACTAAGCGAAAACCGTCCCTTTTCGCCGCTTTCTATGCCGTAATCGATTGCAGTTTTATTCCACCGATTATTGCGTCGATTTAACATCGAATTCTCTCGGTTACTTCACCGATTGCAAAATATTAAGCACCGTGAGTTTTTTACATCGCGCGACACGTTGTACGCGAGATTGCACGAGAAGGGAATAGTAACGTTTATCACGCTACTACTCGGGTACTAAGGGTATAATCGGTAATCCCGGGACCTGACGCAGCGTCCCTGACGCAGAGATCGAGCGTTGTGACATTGCGCTACCTTATCCTTTCTCTTTCTCCCTGTCGATTTGATAAAATTAATTAGCGTTCGCCAATTTGTTTCTTACTTGACTACGAACCTACGAATATAATGAATCGCGCATCTACTGGCACTGATAACGACCGAGACGAAAGCACACAGAGCGGAGATGCGAAGTATCCGAACAAAAGGTATACGCTTATATAAAAAAAAATCTGTATCGCGCGAGATCGTGCGGACACTCTCGTTCACACACAGCATTAAATTCACAATAATCAATTATTATGTACAAAAAATCCTATACCCCATCGATCGCGTCTCTTTCCTTTCGCAATCGGTTTTCGAGACTCAGCGTGTAGCGGCGTCATTTCTTCTATTTCCCTCGCACACACGCTTCATTGCATTACGCGGCATGCATATGTCGTACGGAGCCACATGAATTAAATATTAACAAATATTACCTAACTTATATATTTTCCTCGCGACTTCCAGCGACTTAATAAAACGAAATCCTAAGGATAGCCTCGTCCAGGTGATCGCCCGTTACATCCGCGACACGAAGATCGAGCGATTATAAGCTCTGTAATAAATTTTCCTTTACCTCCTTACTCTGTTATCTCTGTACCCCGTACTCCAAAAGGACATAGGGTATGTCATGTTAAAAAGTTACAATACATGATTCAGATTTGTATGTTCCCGTATGTGCTTAACAATGGTAAGAAAAATATATAGTATATGTTGCTCGCACGCAAACAATAAACACGCTCGATCGGTCTTTTCGGAAGCTGTAACGGGCGATCGGTCACTTAATCCTCCGGAAGTTAAAGAACAATCAGTTTCTTTTCCGACGTTTGTAAAACTTCATAACGGTATCACAGGAACGATATTTCTACATCGTTTCTCTTTCGCGTCAACTTTATTGCTATGAAATGCACGGCAAACATCGTCCGTGATTACAGGACGATCAGAGAGTACGAAACGACATCCGCTTTCAGGTTGCAGAGCGAATAAATTTGTACCAAAAGGAAAGTCAAGTAGACGCAACGAGGAATCGAAATAAAAATACCGTACTGTAAAACAAGGGCTTAAGGATTCCCGGAGGAGGTGTTCGGAGAGCTCGCGTTGATCGAGGAAACGAAGAAACTGAGGGGAAGAGAGAAGATACTCGTCCAACAACCCAGGCTGGCAGTAATTGAGGAGAGGGACAACGTGATAATTTCTTTTTCATCCAGGCAGTTCCATCGTTCCCTCTCTGATCCTCTTCTCTGCGAACTTGTCCTCCGACCCTGAAGATCTCCCTTATCCGAGCTCCATTGCTCTGGTAAAACGTAAAGAAAGCGACGAAGGTGTCTTGAGTGTTCCGGTGGCACCTGTCAAAGGTGCCGCATGGCGGTCGCGAGTCTCGCCCGCCGCAGAAACGTTTATCCAAGTCCACCCAGATCATTCCAGGAGAGAGAAGATCGAACGGGGGAATCGTTAACTGATCATCTTCGAGACTAGTTTCGTCACTTGATCACATGTGCTGCCAAAAAGATTATGATTTGTCCCCCCTGCGACACTCGACAGAGTAAGCTTCTCCCCTTTCCATGTTTTTCCCACTTGCATTTCTTGCCTTCTCGAAGAAGAGGGAGACAGATTCGTGGACGTCGATTTATCTTCTTTCTTTTCTTCGTTCTTTCTACCCTTTTCTTACTCCGGTTTCCCCTCTCTCTCTCGCTACGACGCTCCGGGGATATCCAAGCGGTAGGTCAGACTATCCGGATGCTTTCTCGATGAGAAGGGGACCGTGGATGGGCTGCTGTTCCGCGGTATCTACCGACTCCCAGCGCTCTCTGACGACTGAGCGACCGCCGCGGGATTGTGGCTTGTCTCGTACTCCATTACCTCTTGATAGATCAGCTCCTTCCACTGGTCCACCGTGTGTTCCCTCTCGTCCACGCTATGGTCATACGGACCTGGTGCGGGCTGCAAAACATATCAGATTTTCTTGTGAATCATTGAATAAAACGGAGATTAACAATCAATTTTGTATTTCATTAAAGCAAATAGGAAATATATTTTGTTAAGAATAGTTATCGAGATTTCTTCATCACGTAAAAAAATAATTGTTCCTTAACTGTTTCTCATAATATTTATTAAAATTATTTTTTCCATTATTAATATTTTAAATAATCTGTTTTTTTGAAGATGCAGAAAGATTTTAATGTAGTTTCTCAAATTAAATCAGTGACTATGGTGAATCCTGTGGTCTGCGGAGAAGACAGTACGATTCGAAGCGACCATCCATTCACGCGATCAATCGATAGAGCCTACTTACAGCATTGACTTCCCCCTCGTCGTACCAGACGTTTATGTAATTGTGCAGCAACGCCTCATCCACGGAAATGCGTCGCTCCGGGTCGATTACGAGCATGCGCGACAATAGATCCCTGGCTTGGCTCGCTAGAAGAGGAAGTAAAAACCGTGAAAGGAAGAGTCAGGGGGAGGGCGAGGCAAGGCGATGACGAGAATGCGGATAATCTCGTCGTCCGTGCGTCGAAAACGCGCGCGTCCCGCGATCAATTTCGCGACGCGGGGCGTCGACTTGCTGACCTACTCACCTTTTAATCTATTGTGTTCCGAGGAGTCCGAGGGGAATAGGACGTCCGGAAATAGCCTCTCGAAGGGATAGCCTGGATATCGCGGCCTGTTCTCCACGTAATTCCTGACGGTCGGCTGCAGTCGTTGCATGAATTCCTGCGCCGGTGTGCCAAGTTGTTCTGCAGATAAGAGCAACTATCTTATTTTTACAATACAATAGCAGTCTGCGAGAGTCTCTTCGCGATTATCCCTTTTGTGATAAAAAAAAACATCGAGAAATCTGCAAGTACCACGATTAACTTTATAATAAAAATTATTAAGGAATCATGTAAGGTAATCATGATTATCCGCTTATAATAAAAAAATGTCATAGAATCTGTAAAGTATTCATCATAATTATTCCTGTGAGACAAAAAATATCAGATAATTGATTAGATAATTACAATTGCCCTTACAATTAAATAAATTAAGTATAATAATTGATGTAAAAATATAGCCGAGTGTCAATGCAAATAATTTTGTAGATTCTATTGAAGTTATTTTATATTTTGTTTAACTCCGAAGACACACACGTAGAACGGATTATAATAGCACACACATAACATCATGAAATTTTATCCCAAATTTAATTCCGTTCTCCATAATTTAAAACCTTAAAATTGGGTTTTATTTCATAAGATTTTATTAGTATTATAATTATCATTATTATCGTTAACGGAAAAAGTTGCCTTACCGATTATTTTGTTCCACTGGTCGATGTGATCCGTGCCCGGGAACAGTACACCACCGCGTATCATCTCGCCCATGATGCACCCCACCGACCAAATGTCCACGTTCTCCTTGTACCCCATGCCCAGAATTACCTGGCAAGAAAAGACGAACGCTCCGTGTGAGCGAAACGGTCGAGCTAATCGAGAACAAATTGTGCGAAAAATTACAGGAGGATTTAACTCACCTCCGGCGCCCGATAATACCGCGTGACGACGTAGGGCGTCATCATGAATGTGGTACCGGCGGTCCTCGCCAAGCCGAAGTCGAGTATCTTCAGCGTACAGTCGGATTTTACGACGATGTTGCTTGGCTTTAGATCCTATGCAGAAAGGAGAACCGAATTTTAGAGATTTATCTTATATAGCTTGAGAATCGTCAGAGAGGCAGTGATAAAACATTGATAATGAAAGTCAATAACGCGAGAAGATTCGAGCGATTGATAATAATCGCGAAACAGCGGGTAGCGAGTCAATCACGTTCGAGACCGTTCCGGTTGTATGAATTTTAATTTTTGGCACGTTAATTACGCAGACAGTCCTGCAATCGTTGCGCCGCGTTTTCACTTTTAATGAGCGCGACGCCGGTTTTAGCTATTCTATTATAACGCGCGGCGCGCCGGGAAATTAATCGGAACGACGGCAGGTTATTTCTTTCGCCGGTGGGACAACACAGCAGCCACGGGGGCCACGGTATGCAGGAATGGCCGTCGCTAATGAATCTCGTTACGGTAGATTAAATGGCTCCGCCCGTTATGCAATTTTCATTGGGGTTGCAACGCGCGAATAGCCGATGTCACCCACCCTGTGGATAATGCCGGCGGAGTGCAAGTGCTTGATGCCGCACAGCATCTGGTAGAGGAGGTACGACATGCGCTCGTGGTCCAGATCCATCTGGATCACCTGGCATAAGTTTGCGTCCATGAGCTCCATCACCAGATACACGTCTTGAAACTCGTCCAGCGACCGTTGCGGCGTGAACGCGTTCAGAAGACCGATTATCTGCAAAACGATAAGTCGTAAATTGACGAGTCGACTTCGTCTCGGAAATTTGTGAACAATTATATTACGAATATTACGAATAATTGCGAATAAAACTTGCCCTCCTTCTGGCTCCGTTCTCTCAGATTATTTAGAATTCAGATTATCTTTCTCGAAATTACGTGAACCTATTTGCGTTGTTATTCCAACACCATCCAACATAATATCTCAGTTATGCTCTTAACAGCGAATTAAAAGAAATGGGGTTGAAATGAATTTCCACAAATTAAAACCGTTGACTCGATTAAAACATAGACTTATGCATTCACCTTACTTGTAATTTCTATTATAATCTCTCGATTTACAATTTTATTAACAAAAACTACGCTCTCAGAAATTATTTGAGGACAAAAACAAATTATAATTGCGAGTACAACGAAGAAAAGTAATGGCCGGAAGCTACTCGCGATGTATTGTTATTCTTCGTTGCAACATCTTTTCATTTAGCTCTGTGCAACTTTTTCTCTTGCGTTCCTGTTTAATTTAATTAGAAGAAGTAACCATGAGAGAGTGTTTACGTTCACTTACATGACCATATAGTACAAAGCGCTCAATTACAATTTTTGCGAGATAAAAAGTCGCGCAGTACGCTGTACATGTGCTTAATTCAGCAGCAAGGCTTGAATAATAAATATTAGACATTTATATTTTAAGCCAATTTAAGAAAAAGACATTTATATAGTACGTATGCAGCAAAGAGTATGTATATGTGTGTCACGCATTGCAAAATAGATGCAGGATATAAAATTAGAAGAGAGAACTTACGTTTTTGTGATTGACCAGCTTCATGAGCTTGAACTCTCTGTAGGCCCTCTTCGCGTGTGTCACGTTTTGAAAAGGTCTGGACAGCTTCTTGATCGCCACATTTTGCGCAGTGACGGTATCGTACGCCGCGCTGCAACAGAGATGGAGGAGGAATTGAAGATTATTCGATCATATACGCCTGACCGCGCGATGTCATCAAGCTAAATATACGTTAAACTCAAATAAATAATTAAAACTGAATGAATACTTCGTCGTTTAAAAATTTATATATCTAAAATTACTTTATTTTAGTTATAATAAGTCTTAGCGTGCCTATATCCCGTCTGTGTGGCACAATTTAATAAGATTCGATAAGATTTCTAATTAGTAAAGTAAAAATTATGGATTCATATTATATCATTTAATAGAAACAAAGCACACGCATTTTATTAGAAAAATTTCTTGTTAATCGAATTAATGTAGAAAATAATAAATTCGCAGATAACTTAATTTGAAGCAAAATATAACGAAAAATAGCTACTAAAATGTGAGGGAATACTATACTATGGGAGCGCAAAGGTCAAAAGATATGCACCAAGTTTTCAACGGTAGCTGCTGCGAATTAAATGTACCTGGACGTGATATAAGCGCTCTTCGACGTAATAAATTTAACTATATTAAAGTCAGTAGAAGAGAAAAATAGACATTCTTGCAGCGTATGATCCATCATACGGGCCGTAGATTTTACTCACCAGACGATACCCTGAGCGCCGACGCCACGCGGTACGACGTCGACGTATCTCTCGGGTATGCAAAGCTCGGTGTCGCCGAAAACGTGACGACGATAGCCGCTCCGAACGTTGCTCGTTTCCATCGCGTTCGTCGTCATCACATTACCTCTTTTTATATCTCTCTTTCTCTTTCTTTCTCTCTTTCTCTCTCTTTTTCTTTAGCTCTTAGACTCGTGGCGGTTCTCGTGCCTTAACTTAGGTAGTGTATATCACGCCTCTAGCTACCAAACCAACGACACAAGAACTACAGGATACAGGAAACGAAAACGATCAAGCCGATCGCGGCAACGGAGAAAATTTATCGTCGCCAGGGTTCGGCGACTTTCTCGCGGCCGAAAGCTCGTTCTCAGCGCGATTAAATGGCGCAGATTACGAGCCCGTAATAAAACTCATTTAATTTTGTTAATATCATAATTTATTAAATAAGAAAAGTAAACCCAACAATTATTAATGTTATTAATTTACAACATTAAATAATTAAAATTTTAAACTTCTTTTGAAGACATTTTTTTCAAGTAACATAAAAAGCTTTTTATTCTTCTAAATTTATTTTTCGCGAGTCGCCTAACAACGTAAATTAAAATACATCTGCGGCGGCAGACAGTGAGAATTTAATTTCATCACTTATCACAAAAATGTAGAAACTTGTCGAAAGATATTAAATTGTACTTTGCGCCTCGCGTTACAAAACGCGTCGTGTTTCGCGGAAACGTAATTTTTCTCCGTCGACCGCTGCAACAACGTCACCGACAGCAGTCTCAAAGGACAAACAAGCGAGATGTATAACTCTTGGAACGAGCTCGAGTTAAGCTCGTCGTTCTACCTGGCAAGATCTCGTTTGCTCTCTCTCTCTCTGTTTCTCACTCGATTTTCCTTCGAGAACAGTGTCGCGCGTGTTCGCTTGATTGTCGGAACCATCCATACAATCTAATCTTGCGCTTTTGCAAGATCGTAGCATGTATTTTGCGCCAATGTCAATCGCGAGTTAATTAGTGGTGCAAGAGTGTTGGATGGATCCAAAAACCATGCAAGAATAAGCAATAAATCGGCAAAATAAAAAAGAAATATAAAGTAAAATTAAAATCACTAATAAGATTGCTATGATACAATTGAAAAATTTTGTCACTGTATAATTACTATTCTAAATTATATTTTATACATATAAAATATAGTTCAGAATATTACACACACGGAGAAAATTTTTTGTTATATTTTATCCTTAAATTCACTACAAACTTGGGACAACTTGGCAACCAAGGAATTTTTAAAATATACAAAAGACATTTTACGAACAACGTGGATAAAAATTACCAAGCAGATTAGTAAATTTTGAAAAATTATTGAAATTTCCTAGATATATTTGAATAAAATTAATCAAACATATTTTATATTTTAATGTAATAAATATTAATATTTTTTATTATGGTAAATATTAATCAGAATAGCTCGCATAAAATTCTTGGTAGCACATGTTGTCCAACAACTACCATAATTTCAGGGTAAATTTTAAGAGAAAATTCTCTCCGTGCATGTATATGTCTACATAGAACCTCTATAAAAATTTTATAGAGATAAAAAAAATCGAATGTGCAACAAAAGAATTAAAATAAATGTCAATGTTTATCGAGCCGTAAACGCACTTCATACGTTTCTTACAAGAAACGGTAATTTTAAACTTTTATGAAAATATCTATGTATAAATAAATAGCTTTAAGATTTTTGAATTTTTAAAATTAGCAGCGCACATTAGAAATCAAATCAGACAATCAGATATTAAAAATCAATCTACTAAATTTTTCAGGCAATGTTTCTTGGTATACCTTGTGCTTCAGATTTTAAATTACATCGTGAAAGATTGATTTCACGATCTAAAAATACTTCGCAGTTGTTCGCTCGTTAAACGAACACGATTTGCGAGCAAGTTTAATTACATTTGAATATGAATGATAATTATCAGAGAGTCTAAACCGGAAAAATAATGAGCGTCGCCAGAAATATGTTGCTAGGAAGCACTTGAAAGGCATACTTCCGTCGAACATGTATAATCGTAAGTATGGATGGTTCTTCACGACAGAACATTACCTTCGTCCTACCTTTCGAAATGTCGTGTTCACGACCGGGACCGTTTCCTCGTGAGAGAAATCGCATTCGACGGCCGGTTAAACGCGATCAAACGCGCTCAGAGCTTTCTCCCGCTCCTCCTCAAACATTTCTGTGTACCTTGCAGCTTTAGGATAATGGTAAAAGCCACCGGGTATATTCTCGCAAGGATTTCAAGAAATCATTAACCCTTTCCCTCCGGGAAAGTCTGTGACTTCAAAGCGACGTAGCGCATCTGGGCTCTTTACAGTAAGCTTCCGCAGTACAAATTGTCACAGTTCTGCAAATCGTAAATAAGGACTGCAACGCTATAAATTTCAGATAATCTCTTCTTAAAAGCCACGACAATAAAAAAAGGACACGATTAAAAACAAATAAATCGATACAACAGTAGCTTGACCCACTTTCTAAAAGAAACTGAGAAAAGTTCTCAAAAGGTTGAGAAAACGAAACATAGATTGATTTCCCGAATTCTTCAAAAATATGCGTTGTATTGAAATGTGATCTCTTTTAACAGTTATTAAAGTCGTAAAATATCTGAATTACACTGATATTTCCATAAATTCTTAATTATACATTTCAGTAGGACGCAGAGAAATATAAAAGAGTAAATCATCTCTTTTGCTCTCTCTGAAATAATTTCGGAGAGAGAATGTGTGCATTTTCTTTCAAAACTTTCAGAATATATTTAATCTCCGAGAAACGCCGCCAACTCGAAATACTCTTCAGTGGCATTTTACAGCATCATCTCGATCCCAGCAGTATCGAGATACCTTTCGTAACTACGAATTTCAATGGATATTTTATCCTCTCACGAGAGATCTTCGTTATAACATTTTCTTTATCGCTAATATTTTATTATATTAAAATAAAAAGGACATCGCCTGATTTCTAATATTATTATTTTTTTTATACAATAATGAAATTTCAACGTTAGCAAAAATTATTTCCAGTATTTCTGATAACGCCAGGATTAATGTGCAGGTCACAGATTCCATCGTGAATAATATCCGGCCGTCGTTAGCCGATTTCCTTTCGCATCCTGACCTACCTTCCATGCGCGCGAAATCAACCGGCCTTTTTCGAGAGCAAGCTCGCTCCTCGAGGGACGAGGCAAAACGAAAAGGCCCCTCGCATATTTTCCGTAATGGACCACGCTACGGCAGAATTTTTATCGAAAATCGATATTCCGCATTCCCCTCGACCGTCCGTCCGTCCGTTCGTTCGTTCGACTTACCTGCATACCACGGCCACCGTGTATTGTTCGAGATTGCGCTTTCTCGGATAATGCAGTATTTCAGTTTCTATCGGACGTCAAAGGGGAGACACGTGCGAGGGAGAAAAGCGATCCACGATCCACGGAACAATTATCATGATGGATCCTGGCTTATACCCGTACGATCGATAATATTCGTCGTAAATTTCAACAATCTTCGAAGTGCGGTCGGAACAAAAATCGACTGACATTAACCCTACACTGAGAAAAAAAATCGTAGATTCAAAGAAATATTATTTGATTCAACTAAATGCAGCGGTCACGGGCTGTCAAGCTAACATTTGTTAATTCAAAAAATATTATATTTAAATAGATTCAGAATTTCTTGATATTACTCACGTATATTTGATTTAAATATATTAATATTTGCATTAAACAAATCACTACAACTAAACGAGTTTAGTCAAATTTACAATATTTTTTTCTCAGTGTAACATCACACTAACACGTTAATAGAAACTAGAGCGAAGAATGAGAATAATGGCCAATTTGCGAAATCATCAGATCTACTAAAAGAACAAATTAAACGGTATAATAATTTGCTACTAGATTTTATACCTACTTCATCAAAAACTTGAGAAAATCGACGTTGTCAAAATTGGGAAACTCAAATTTAAGTAATTTTCTCTCAAGTTTTTAAGAGCAAATAAGTCATATAAAATGCGGAGAATATTCCGATTTTACTATTTAGGGGAAGTCCGAGAGATTTGACCATAAAGGAGAATTGAACCACTTTAAATATCTCGTTCAAATTTTGAACAAAGAGCTCAATCCGAACACGTGACAACGTGACGCTTGGTAGTGCGTATCGACTGTGAGTGAGACAAACGTGTTTTAACGTGCTCGGATTGAGCTCTTTGTTCAAAATTTGAACGAGATATTTGAAGTGATTCAACTCTCCTCTATGGTCAAGTCTCCCGGACTCTCCCTATGTCTCTATACTAATTATATTCTAATTCTAGTTTTGGATTGTGATACTTTTAACAAAGGGTCGCAATTACAGTGAATATTCGCAGTGATATCGCGAGAGACAAATCATATATATTTAAATTCAATGTTTTAAAAATTAATCTGCAAAATTAAAAATCAAAATATATAAAACAAAAAAGAACAGAATATTATATACTAATTTAATTTTTAATTTCGATTTCAATCCTTCGTCACAGTTTCTTTCTTCTGTTCGTATATCTTATCGAATCTTCAATGCAATCTCATTATACTGTTACGATCGTATTACCTTCTACCGATTGTTGCAAGATCTAAGTACCACTCTGAATATCCTCGAGATATGGAGGGAGCCACGACGAGATCTATTGCTCGGATATTCACGAGAAAAAGAGAATGCCGTCGACTTAATTTGCCTCGTCTGAAGATCGGGTATCGACGGCAAGCACGACGACGACGAGGAACGAGGAACGCCATGAAGCTGTCGTCGAGGACGATTTTTCCGACATCACGCGGCCGGCTTACAAGGAAAGGGCGTTCTGTCTCTCGTCGTCGTCGCTCCCCGTCGTCAGAAATCCGCGTACTCTCGCGAAGACATTCTCCCTCGTTCCGAATCGAATTGCCCGATTTACTCTGCCGCCCCGTTTCTCCGCGCGCCGAACGGTGCCACCCGTTCCCCGTTGCCGTCGATTCGGGTCGGTCCTCGAACGCGAGTAAGAGAAATCGTAGTTAACCCTCACCCTCTCACCCCCACCCCCTCGAGATATATGTCGACGTAGCGATACAACGTACGCCCGGCTTCAAATCCACCTCGAAACTTTTACCTCTGATGGATGCTGGCATTGTTATCGGTTGTATACGTAGCTTGAAGGCGGATGACGTTATCCAGAAAACGGATATATCAAGGCGGAACGTAATAAACATCGCGTGTGATAGATGAAACTTTTCATTCTGCGTATTCGATATTTGACGTTCAAACTAGATCAGTGTACTTTGCGAGTTCTCTTCAATTATTTTGCTATTTTTCGTTCTTGTGTAAAGTCATCTAAATGCAAAAGAAATTAGGGTTTTACTGAGAGTTCCGCTGGGACTTCCAGGGAAGATTCACCGGTTCGCGTGACTCGCACGTGTCTTTCCTTAAGTCTAATAGTCTAATAGTCTAACAGTCTAACAGTCTAGTAATTATAAAAAGAAAACGTCGAATTGCAATGGCTACTGAACCACTCACCAGACTATCCCCTGCGCGCCCGATCCGATAGGCTTGAGGTTTTGATAGCGCTTCAGGATGGTGAACTTGGTGTCCCCGACCTCGACCGTGTAGAACATGGCGGACAGCCGGGTTGTCATGTCAGGCCCCAGGTAAGGCATGCGCCTCGGTGTTCGTCTCTCCTGCTGCTGCTGCACCTGAGCCGCCGCCTGCACCTGCACACCGTCCACCCCGCTGGAGCACTCCTGGTGCACTCGACGGGGACTTACGCTCTTAGCCACTTTGGACGCGAGATTTTCAGTGCACCCACGGAATAGTAGCGGCGACAATGCAGGCGGGTGTTCCCGGAGTGCGCGGCACCTGATGCGAGTGCCAGGTCAGACCGCTCCTCAGCGGCAGATCGCGCCTCAGCACGCTGCTGCCCGATGAGTCCTTACGTAGCCCAGAATTGTCTGCAACGAGAAAAGGATCGAGGCGAAAGTTCGCATAAATCTGTTATTTCCAACAGCTAATTGTTAAATCGATATTGCTTGCCATATTTATCGCAGTCGCGAAAATTATATGAATCTTCAAAATGTAATAATTCACGACAAACCGGAATAACTGTTACCGTTTATTTTGATTTCACAGTAACTTTGATAACAATAGAGCGGGATTTTGCTATCAAGAAATTAAAACGAAAGAGAAAGAAACAGAGTGACCTGAAAAGTGTGACATTTTACATTTAGAGAATTTCACGCAACAATCTAATAATAATTTCTCTCAAGGGCGCGGCAGCAAAATGCACGCGACATTTGCATAGCGCGGATAATCGAAATTGTATCATTTGTATAAGCGCGTGTCAACGTCATTTACGCAGATCTGTGCGTGACTGATTCATGTGTATAATAAACAAACATTAATCAACGTTGGAAAACGGGACGTAAAGTCAAAGGTCGGAAATAAGTTCGTTATATTTCGTCACAAAAGCGAATTCATTCTGACGGGAAAGAAGAGACGGGGATTCCAATTCAAATCAAATTATAATTTGGATTTAGATGAGAACAGAACATCAGATGTGTCCAAATTGCATATCCGGTATGTAGATTAGCACCAAGATTTGAAATAAGTCGCGATGTTTCAACGACGCATGCATTCGAATATATATGTATTCGAGTACTCGCTGGAAACCATTTTAATGTTTCCACAGCTCGTGTATAAAGCCAGTTAGAACCCGCCTTGAGCTCATTGTTGGATCAAGCCTCAAGATCCAGCGAAGATCCACTTAGGATCTACCTAAGATTCAGCCAGGACGCCAGGATCCAGTCTGAATCTGAAATGGGATCCAACTCTCTCTCCACAAGTTTACATTAGAAAGTCAGGAAGAGTCCATTTTATGACTTATACTATGCAAAATACATTTTATATTTTCTTTAAATTATAGTTTTCGATTAGCATACTGAGTTACGGTTTTATGATCAGCATTTCTAAAAAAATATTCAAGTAAAAAAATGGCATAATTTATCGCCACTTTAGAATTTTTAAAAGATTAGAAGTAAAATACTATCATTAATAATGTACAAAAACATTAGATGAATTTGTTTCAATTCATCTCATATGTCCTATACTCCATATGTATGTAATCGTTATAAATAAGTTATTTAATAACTCTATGAACACATATCATATCATCAATCATAACAAGATATAATTTACCCGATAAAATCATAACTCGCTTTTGTTCACCGAGGAAAATTGACGTATCGCCGAACACACTTATACAACGAGTTTACATTGTTTGCAAATATTCCTTTTTTAATTTTAATCTCGTGTATCACGTCAGCAACGCAGAAAGAAAGAACAAAAGTATTTGTTATCTTTCAATTTTGAAAGTCAGCCACTCGTCCATTATTTTTTTGTTGAAAGTGAGAGAACCGTTACCGTTACGAAACAAAATGTTTATTTGTTAGTAGAAATTACGTTATAAGAGCAACGAAACACGGTGCAATTGCACAAATGGAATCGTATCTTATCTCGACCTCCTACATTTTTTTTCGGATGGATGGACAGAAAAGAACAACATGAGGAGCAGCTATCAAGGTAGTCGGTGTAATGAATTTTATGGAACTATTGTTTTATTCTGTTTCTGGACTAAGTTCAAAAACTAAGAAATAAGAGAATAAATAAAATAAGAAATTTTTAATGATAAAATTTTGAAAGGAAAAACTATAAACTTTAATATTGAATATATCCTTTATTATAAATCTATCAAACAGCATTCAAATTTAGCAAATAAATAATTCACATTTATTAAAAACAAAATTAATAAGAATAAGATTTACATTAAACAAGATAATTCAGCAAATGTAAGTAGTAAAATTGAGAATTGCAGGGAAACAGATTTAACGAGATTAAATGAATAAATGCGTGAATAAATAGAAAGAGGCAGAGACAGATGCAAGCGTACTTGTTGATAAAAGGATTTTGTGAGAAAATTATGTTCTCAGACAAGAGATTAAAAAAGAAGTGAGAAAAGAGATGTTATGTTTTATTTTCCTGAAAAGTCTCAGAATAAATATAACATCATAGAGATAATTTTTGTAAAATAACTAAAAAGTTTAAAACAGATTCAAACCCTAAAATCGGCCAAAAGTATATCTATTAATTTTGGCATCATAATTTAATGTTATAAAAGGACTAATGTAAAATTTTCAATATTTTATTAATAACAAAATGCCATTAATAATACAACTTCCTATTAAATATCCGATGGCTAAAGATTTTTTAAATAAGGGAGCAGACGAGCAACAAGATCTAAGTATGTGACTAAAATTAATTAAATAAAGATTTAATAACTTACAATACTAAAACAGAAATAAGAATTTCGAATGCAAAGGCTAAGCAAGAACTAGATTAAAGCGTTGAACGAAGATGGAGCGTCAAAGAGAAACTTCCTAACTAAAGGAGAGCAAGACAAGCAAAGATGTTTTCATCAGCTTGCAGAAACCAGCGCTCCATCAGCGAAAACCACAGCAAAAGGGAGATGAAGAGAGACGCGAACTCAAGGAATTCCATCAACGAGCGTAGCAGCGGCAGCTGTATAAATCGTTAAAGATAATAGTACCTGTCGCTGAGACACGTGATAGGGAGGGTGGACTATCTCCGTGGCATCTCATTTCGAGTGATCTGGGTCGTCTTGCCGCTATACATTGTTGTCGAAGACTACAACCGTAGAGAATCCAGCATCGCTACAATGTCCGTCATCGTGAACCCTTTTCGATCGATCGACAGGGCGAACACATCCCCGTGAGCGAATAAGCGGTCAAGCTTTCAAGCTTTGTGTGTAACGCAACTAACCCAATTGTATCTCGATTCAACGTTTGGATAATGAGAACTCAGCCCTATCAACTGAAGTATCGATCAATATAGAAAGAGAAAGAAAAAGAGAGAAAAAGAGAGAGGAAATTGACAAAAATGTATACGCGCTTGTAACTTACTGCGACATAGTACAAGGAAAATTAATTAAGTCCACTTTGTTAAACAAAAAAAAGCGACAGCTCGGTGCCCGGGAGATCTATTAATCATTAACTATACGACTATAAGAAAGTCTTTCAAGTCCCTATAGTCATTTATAATTTATAAATTTGTAAATAGCTTTGTTTGCGCATCAAAACGTTACAATTTTTCCTACTTTTAAATTATTTTCATGACTCTTCTATTAGCTATTTCAATATAATATAAATAATTCTTTATATTATTTATCACAATTTTAATATTAAAATGGCAAATCATTAGATCATATATATAATGTTAACGTGTCGCAATTCGGTCGACGACATGACATCTCCGTCGCAGCGGCGAATACTTTCGCGGGAGTGTTTTCGTGCGCGCCGATATCTCTTCTAGCACCTCGGGATTCCCCCGATTATTTATAGCGACTGTCGCAGACGTAGACCGACAACGACAACGACGACGACGGCGGCGACGACGACGCCACCGCCGCCGACGCCGCAGTCGTGCTCTTTGTGGTTGCTGCTTGGGCCAACCACCTTCCATCGTTCGCCACCTGCTATCAATTACGTAAACACGTCGATGAACGCGCAAGCCTCTAAAGACGTCTTTGTAGAGATAAAAAAAATCATTGAGCCATGGCGATGCTCGTAAGATGCAAAAACGTTTGATCGAGATCTATTAAAAGCTGTAGAGATGCTCGGATTTCGAGTTACGAGGATTACCAGAATGCTCGTCCGAGCTTTCGAAAGCTCGACGAAAACACTTAAGGATCTCGAAGTTACGGAGACATTCGATTGAGGATGAACGAGATAGAATCGACACTATTTGAATAAAAGAAACAAATGATAAATTGCAAAACTTTTAGCGTCTTGGGTCTTATCGACGTCTTAGTTCTTGAAGTGTAGAGTTACACGTTCGAAGTAGTGATCTTTAAGTTTTAAGATTTTTAAGGGTCAAAGTAAATCGCGGCGCGTTCAACCCAGAACTGTTTCGTAAATCTGAATATGCTTCGGTTAATTTTTATGCTAGAAACGTAGAAAATATCACGTGCTAGAAAATATCACGATATTTAATTCTAATCAAAATATTGTGATAAAACATTTAATTTTTACAATCGCTTACTCATTCGCGAGTAAACTCGCGTTTTGTATTTTCAGCCATGACGATGAAACATGATTGATTTTGAAGCGAACAAACAGCAGGATGGAAAACAACACGTAGCCGAAAAAAAGGTACAGTATTATTTTCGCCGGTTCCGGAAAGCACTTGGAGTCCTTTATAAAAATAGTCAACAAACTCCGGCGAATAGAAATACAAGAGACTATAAAATTTTTACATACACTTTTCAGCTTGGGTGTGCTTTGTTAACTTCATAAATTAAATAAAAACTCCGAGAATAGAGAAGGTGGTCGCTCACTTTTACGGAGTTAACAGTTCATAGCTAGTACTAACAAATTCGATGTCAATTTTTTCCCGCTAAAAACATGAAGAGAATTCATTTTTTTTCCCAATTAATGACTTTCGAATTAAAATAACAAATTAAAATTTACCTAAAATTATATATACAAAAAGTAAAATGTTTTGCCATGGTTTCTCAACCTAAAGACCATTTCTTAATATGCACTGTGTAATGTAAAAATTATTAATATTTCCGTATGAAGAAAGTCGG